GGCGGCGGCGGGCGCGGCGCCGGCAGCCGGACGCAAGATGATGAAGTTTCGGTTCCGGCGGCAGGGCGCCGACCCGCAGCGCGAGAAGCTCAAGCAGGAGCTCTTTGCCTTCAACAAGGTGCGGCGGCGGCGGCGGCGGTGGTGGTTTGGGCAGAGGGCGACAGAGGGCGGGAGGGGGCGGGAGGGGGCGGGCCGGGGGCCCGAGGGCCCGAGGGCCAAAGCCGGGGGCCCGGGGGCCGGAGCCACGTCGGGCCCGGGGGGAGGGGGCGCCCAGCTGGGGCGCGGCGCGAGGAGCGGGCCGCGCGCCCCTCGGCGGGCCCCACTTCTCGTCTCCTCCCCTGCTCCACTCTCGGACTCTGGGTGGGTCTGGGTCCCTCGCTGACTTTCCGAGTCAGCTCCTCCGGGTCCCTGTGGGCCTCACTGGCCCTGGCTATGCGGATCTCTGTGTACTTGGGTCTGTGTGTGTGTCTCTCTCCGTGCGACTCTTTGCATGCCTCTGGGTCTCTGCCCGTCTCTGCCCAGGATCACCTCCCTATCCTCAGCCTGTCTGCCTCTGTCCCTGTGTGTCTCTGCGTATCCCTTCTCTGCCTTCCTTCATCTCTTTCTGTCTCTTGATCTCTGAGTCTTCGCCTGTCTCTCCTGCGTGTCTCATTGCCTACATGCGTCTCTGTGCAGTCTTTGGGAACTCTCCCCCTGGCTCTTGCTATCTCTTTCTCTCTCTTCCTTTGGGGGACCTCAGAGACCCTGCTCAGCCCTTGGGGCAGCCCAGGGCCCCAGTTTGTTTTGCTTTCGCACCCAGGCCGGTGGGGAGGGGTGAGGAATGGAGGCAGATGTTGTGGGGGGTGGGGCTGGGAAATCCCGTCCAGGTTCCCCTCCTCCCCTCCCCCAAGGCCCTAGGCTATGCCTTCCGGGTCTCTGACCTGCCCTGCTCTGCTGGGGGCTCCAGGGAAGATGCCTGGCTGGCTGTGTAGGCATCTACACTTCAACTCTTGGGGTCTCAGTTTCCTTTGCTATGAAATGGGGCCACCTTTTTCCCTGCTGTGGGCTCTGGCTCCCTGTGTCACATGGTCCAACTGACCTATCCTTTGGGCCAAGGTGGAGGTGGTTGCTCCTTCCTTTCTTTTCCTGGGTAGGGCAAGAGGGGGCCATGGGAAAGGGGCTGCCTTCAGCTCCCTCCTCTGCCCAGCTTTTGCGCTGATGTGTGGTAGATCCAGGCCCCCGTCTTTCCATTGCTAACTTCTGGGGTGTTTCTTCTGCCCTCACTTTTACTCCCAACCTCTGATTGCACAGCCCCTCACTGTTCTCGGGGATTAGAGTTATTGTTCCCATTATACGGGTGAGAAAATTGAGATTCAGAGAGGGATGATGACTTGCCCAAAGTCGCAGACTGCGCTGGGGCTCTCTGTCCTTGTGGCCCCTTGTCAACAAGATATGACTTGAGTCTTGAGGGGCAGGGATTTTTGGATGGGCTGCTGTGGTCCTGAGCCAGACGCGAGGAGACCCTTGTTCAGGAGAAGGCTCTGGAATGGCTAGAGGTGAAGTGGCCGAGGTGGGAATGTCTCTCAGGGCAGGCAGGGTTTGGGGCTGCCAGGGCCTTCAGACGTGGTGGCTGAGAAGTTTTCAGGGGCCTGGGGAACCCAGAAGGGTGGCTGGTGTCCAGGGTCTCCCAGCTGGTTCCCTTGGTGCGCTGGGTGACTGTGTGTGTGAGCCCCTGTAAGATGCGAGGAGGATGGTGGGGACAAGTGAGTCAGGGACTGTGAAGTGGAGACTGGAGATAGATGGTGGGTCCTCCTGGCTGGGCCTGGGTTGGCAGAAGCCAAGGGCTCCCTGCTCAGGAGAGTGAGGCCCCATTCTGAGTGGGCAGCGTTGGTGTAGTTTGGGGCAAGGGACTTGGTCACAATAGGAGATAGGCGATCACTAGAGAACAAATGGGTCCTAGATCCTGAGTGGTGGCGAGTGTCAGAAGCAAGCGTGGACTTTGGACTGTCTTGCATCCAGATCCCTCTCCTGCCCGCACCTTGCCCATGGGATGTCCAGTCTATGTCACTTTATATCCTGAGCTTCTCCTGTGTGAGGGCCCCCTTCTAGGTATTGAGGACACACCATAGTGACCCAAAAGGGACAAATGCCTCTTCACTTGGGGTGCTGAGGTACTCATGGGGGAGGCAGTGAAAAGCCAAAGCAGAAGAGTGAAATATGCAGCAGTTAGGATGATGGCCAGTGTTGGGGATACAATAAAGTAGGGTGAGGGTAGGGAGTGTGGGGACAGGGAGCCGCTAGAGCAGGGTGATTCAGGGAGGGCTTTGAGGAGGTGACTCCTGAGCTGAGACCTGAGTAATGGGGAGGAGCCCTCCTTGGGGAATGCTGGGTGAAGCACTTTCCAGGTAGAGGGACAGTAGATGCAAAGGTCCTGAGGCAGGAGCCTGCCTAGTCAATTGGAGGAGAGCAGAAGGCCGTTGGGCCTGGAGTCAAAGAAGTTGGGGGAGAGAGAGAGGAGGAGGACAGAGAGGGGCCAGGTGGTGAGGTGGGAGCTCGGAGAAGGCCCTGAGCAGAGGATGGGACTGGCTAGACCTGGTCAGCTCTAGTACGGACATGGCGAGGCTGGTGGGAAAAGGAAGGGCACTCCCCCCTACCCCCTGCACTGCCAGCCAAATGGGCGACTCTGTCCTCAGTGGCCTCACTGCCCCTAGTGCCCACATGGGAGACTGAGGAGGCTTGGAGAATGTGGTGATCCAAGCCAGCTGCAGAGAGGGTGCAGTCCCTGGCCTAGATTGGTTGAAGCAGGAGGGAGGCTGGGGCAGCAGGCCTGGGACCACGGTTTCGTTTGAAATGTGTGCCTTACTGAGGCACTGGTCAGGAGATGCCTGCGCCCACTTGTGGTGTCCCGCATTGGTGTTGAAGACAGGGTGGGAGCCCCTTCAGGCAGGCCTCTGGGGATGAGTGGGAGTTCCATGGTGGATGTGGGAAGGTGGCCGAAAGCATGAGCCAGTGGAAGGAAGGACTGAGAACCCGGAGGGCTGGAGTCTGCCATGGGACAGGCCCTGCCAGAAGGAGACGCCCTGGGGGAGCCGGACGAGCTGATCCCGGGTGTTGCCCTCCGATCTCCAGTGGGGCCCGTGGGGAGTGCCACACACATCATATGGGACCTCAGAAAGCATGGCAGCTCACCTCCAGGAGTGGGGCACAGAGCCCCACTCTGTGGGACGGGTAGGGTCGACTTCTGTGCCTGCACCTTGGGGGTCCTGCTTCTCTCTGTTGCCAGAGCCCTGCACAGGGCGGGCCGGACGTGGGTGCAGAGGACAAGGTCTTGGCCGGGGGAGGCCTGTGAGGTATGGGTTGCAGATGTGATCACCTGTTTCAGAGTTGGGAACACTGAGGTGCGGAGCTCAGATGGACAGGCGCCCATCCTCACCGTGCAGCTACACTAGTCTGGAGGCTGCCTTGGGGTGGGCCTCAGGTGGGCCAGGGGCTGCGTGCCGCTGCCCATGCCCTCCCCTCCCCCTGCAGACCGTGGAGCATGGCTTCCCCAACCAGCCCAGCGCCCTGGCCTTTGACCCAGAGCTCCGCATCATGGCCATCGGCACGAGGTCTGGGGCCGTCAAGATGTATCCTTTGCGTACCGAGGCCTTCAGGGCCAGTCCTCCTGCTCGCAGCCCCCTATGTGCCGACTCCTGGGGCCTGGCCCACCCCAGGAGGCCGCAGTCAGTGCCTGGGTCCTGGTGGAGTTGGTGCAGCCTCTGCCCTGAGACTTCTTTACAGAAATGGTTGTGGGGGAGGGGTCAGCTTGTAGTGGTCACAGCTGTCCCTAGCTGCGTTTCAGCCGGCAAGTTACCTAGGCGACCCTGCCACTGCTCCAGCAACTGACCGGGAACACTGGGCCGGGAGGCTGGCCAGGCGCGGTACCCAGCAGGGGTGGCGAGTGGGCCAGGGTCGCCTAGCGGGCCTTGCCCTGGTGACCAGGCATACACGTGTGTGCGAATGTGAAGACACATGTGTGCGGCCGAGGGGCTGGGGGCTGTGCCAGGCTCAGCATGGTGAGCGCGGCGCGGCCCCCACCTGGGTGCCGGCGGCTGCACAATGGGCCGTGTGAGCTGCACAAGGCGGGCTTTTTCCTGCCGGCGGGGGGGGGGGGGGGGGTGGGGGCACGCCGGCAGCTGACTGCCTCCCTGCCTGCTACGGAGGACCCCACCCCTGCTGCTTTTCTTGGGGAAGCCCCTCGGGTGGGGAAACCGAGGGAAGGGCCCACTTTGGGCTGCCTGCCCTCCCCCCGTGCTCCGTGATCCTCCAGCTCTCAGTACCCTCACTGGGGACGTTGGTTGGCCAAAAAATGAGTCAATGCCTGGAAAGGGGTGGGGTGGGCATGGGGGCCTTCCCACCCCAGGGCAGGTGGCCGGTCACGGGTGGGCGACTGGGCCTATAGTTTGCGAGTCCGCCTTCCCTAGGAGGTGTGGCGGGGCTGGGGTGCCCTTCCTATCCCATGGACTCCCAGGGAGGCACCGTGGAGCAGGGAATGGGGTGGGGAGGGGACAGTGCTTGGATCCCTTGCCCTGAACCGCCCTCCACCAGCCCCGGCCTGCTCCTGCCCCTCTCGGTGCTGTTGTACCCTCCCTGCACGTGTATTGTGTTCCCGCAGCCCCTTGCTCAGTCCCTTGTCCAGGCGACTCTGGTAGCCGCTTGAGCTGTCCCTCCATGGTGTTTCTCGTGCACGGGCTCTGCGTGCTCACAAAGAACCTGATGTACTCGTGAGGAGACAGCCCCAGAGGAGGAGGCTGGGGCCCTCCTCTTTCCCCTCCTTCCTTCCCCCAAACTACCAGAGCCCTGGGTTGGGAAACTGAGGCTGGCCACAGCAGCTACCCCTCCCCCTCAAGGGCAGCCGTCTCCTTGGCAACCCTGGTTCCCGCCCAGCAGCTCCTGCCCTCTCTTTTGTCCCCTCTTCTTGTGTTCTGGTTCCTGCAGGGAATCCCAGCTCTAGCTCCAAAGCAACGAGCCCCTGTGTTGTTGCTGGGCAACGCTGACCCCTCCCTAGCCCTCCCTCCTGACCCCCCTCCCCACCCCCTTCAGACCCCTGTCAGACCACTGTCGGACCTGGAGCTGTCTGGAGCTGCCGTCTTGACTCTGGCACTGACCCCAGGGACTTGCGGCAACTCACCCAACCTTCCCAAGCCTCCGTGCAATGTCGATGAAATGGGCTGGTCCCGGCCTCTCCCGATCACAGCAGGGGCTGCTGGCTGCCAGTCGCAGGGGGAGTTCGATGTCCTTGCTTGCAGCTGGAGGTTGGCCTGGAGCTGTGGGAAGAGGCAGCCTGGACTCTGCTGTGCCCCAGGCTTCCGTGCCCAGGCCTGGCCTGGCCTCTCTGCCTGTGTGATCCCAACCTGCGGGGCCCAGCTCTTAATGTACACAGACATGCTCTGAGGCTGACACAGAACGGGAGCCTGGCCATGTGCCAGACCTGGCCCAAAGGTGCTGGGTGTGTTTGTATTCTCACTTGCCCTGCATCAGCCCTACAAGGTGGGAGTGGGACTCACAAGCCCATTTTACAGATGAGGAAGTAAAGGTCACATAGTACCAACTTGCAGCGCAGAGTGAAGCCTGCTCTCTGAGCCTGGGGGTATCTTGGGGGTACAGACCGGTGCTTCTTCAAGGACGGGTGTCCCTCCTTGGACCTTGGAGGGCAGGCCTGGCGGGGGCCCATTGGAGGGTTCTTGGAAGGGAGGATCTCCCGTGCCTGCTTCTGCCCTTGACCTCTGCACTCAGCTATGGTGCACCTGGTGTGGAGTTTACCGGCCTGCACCAGGACACAGCCACTGTCACCCAGATGCACTTCCTGCCTGGCCAGGTGAGCCTCTCCCCTCCACGGCTGCCCCAGCCTCTGTGCCCTGCCCAGCCCCCGACTAGCCCGGTCTCTGTCTCTGCTCATCCACCAGGGCCGCCTCCTGACCCTGTTGGACGATAGCAGCCTGCACCTCTGGGAGATTGCCCACCGCAACGGCTGCGCTCACCTGGAGGAGGCTCTCAGCTTCCAGCCACCGAGTCGGCCGGGCTTTGATGGGGCCAGGTACCAAACGACTTGGCTGGGGATGAGCTGCGGGGCCTGGGGGAGCCTGGTGGAGGTAGTGGGAGCTGGCCTCTGCTGTGGGCCTAGGACCCCTGCCCTGGGCTTCGGGGGACGGAGTCCATCGAGCTGCGCCTGGGTTCTGGTGGATTTTTCGGGTGTTAAATAGGGGGTCCCGGCTGAGTCTCAGGTGATGCTCTGGTGGTGACTAGGGCTGTTCATGGTTGGGGGTGGGGTAATGGGCCGTAAAGTGCATGGCTGACAGGGCAAGTTTGGGGGCAAGGAGGGTCCCACCAGGCTGTGTGAGGTGCCAGAGAAGACATTTTGGGGGCAACTGAGTGGGCCTGGACCCCCGGTGAGAGTGTAAGGGGCCTCTCGGTCCCTGGCCCTACTGGCCCTTCCTGAAACGGTCAGTGTGGGCAAGTCCTTAACCCTTCAAGAATCCTGTACTGCCTGAGTGGGCAGCTTGTCCTGCTCCTGCTGAGGGCTGAGTGAGACCCCCCACACATCCAGCCCTCCCCTTGAGATGGGTCCCCCAGGGGAGGTCTCTCATCCTCTGCAGGCAGGGTCAGTCTGGGGCACCTCCAGTGAAGTCGGGGCCATCCGTGGGCTGGTGACTGGGGTTCCCGGGTCAGGCTCAGGAGGGTCGTGTGTGTCCTGGAGCCCTTGGTCCTGGCCTGGGCGCTGGCCTGGTTCCTGCCTTCCCCTCCTAGTGAGTGGGAGGGGCTCGGGAGTCTGTCTCTAAGACCTGGGGAACCTATTTTTATCCCTCTCCTTCCCAACATCCTGATGAATAATTGAGTGCGCTAATTACACCGTCGCCTTCCCGGTGTGCCAGCCCACTCGAGAACCGGGCCTCTGTGAGCACAGGGGGGCCGTCATGAGCAGCCCCGCCCCATCCATACCCCTCCTTAGCAGGGCCTGGGCTCACCCTCACCTGCCTCCCCTCCTCCTGTGCAGTGGCCCGCTCAGCCTTGCCCGCGTCACAGTGGTCCTGCTGGTGGCGGCTGGTGACATGGCAGCCCTGGGCACTGAGGGCGGCAGCATCTTCTTCCTGGATGTTCCCACCCTGACACTGCTCGAGGGGCGGACTCTTGTCCCGGACGAGGTTCTTCGCAGGTGAGAGGCAGGCGGGCCCCCCAGCAGCTAGTCCGGGCCTCGGGGTGCTCCTGTCAGCTCACGTGAGCCCCTCCTCAGCGTGCCAGACGACTACCGGTGTGGGAAGGCACTGGGCCCCGTGGAGTCACTCCAGGGACACCTGCGGGACCCCACCAAGATCCTCATCGGCTACAGCCGAGGCCTGCTGGTCATCTGGAACCAGGCGGCACAGTGCGCAGACCGCGTCTTCCTGGGTAACCAGGTATGTGGGGGAGGCCGGCGCCCGCCGCCGAGGCCCTCTGCTCACACCCCTGCTCACACTCCCCGCCTGCCCAGCAGCAGCTGGAGAGCCTGTGCTGGGAACGCAGCGGCAGCACGCTGGTCAGCTCCCACAGCGACGGCAGCTACGCCGTCTGGTCCGCCGACGCCGGCGACTCCCCGATGACCCAGCCCACAGTGGCCACCACGCCATATGGTGAGTGCCGGGGAGGCCGAGGGCGGCTCCTGCCGCCTGAGCATGGGGTTGGCCCGTGACCCCAAACTCAGGCACTTGGGGCTGCCTGGCCTTGGTGGGGATGTCCAAGAGGACTGGTGGAAGGCGGTGGTGCCAAGCGCCATCCTCAAAGGTGAGCCCGCTGGGGGGGGGTGCGCGGTGGGATAGTGGGCCTTCCCCTCTGGGAGTCAGGAAGCAGCTGCGAGGTGGGGAGCGATGGAGGCAGACTAGGAATGGGAGAAGCTTGGAGAAATGTGACCTGGGGCCCTTCCCGTCCTGGCGAGTGAGTGAGCCCGACACTGTCCCACCCCTCCAGGCCCCTTCCCCTGCAAAGCCATTAACAAGATTCTGTGGCGAAACTGTGAATCTGGGTAGGTGGGGAGCGGGTTCTCAGATGCGGGCTGGGGGCTGTGTCTGCAGCGGGGAGTAGGGTGGGCGCAGGGGCGCAGGGACGGCCTGCATCGCTCTCCCTGGGCTGGGCAGTGTGCACCTGTGGCCCTGTGGCTCACGCAGCTCCCCTGCCGGCCCTGCAGGGACCACTTCATCATCTTCAGTGGAGGCATGCCCCGTGCCAGCTACGGTGACCGCCACTGTGTGAGTGTGCTCCGGGCCGAGACCCTGGTGACGCTGGACTTCACTTCCCGCATCATCGACTTCTTCACGGTGCACAGCACACGGCCTGAGGATGGTGTGTGCCCGCCCTGGCCCGTGCTCCATGCCCCGTGCCCCCTGCCACTGGGCTCACCTAGCCCTCGTCCCGCAGAGTTCGATGAGCCCCAGGCCCTGGCCGTGCTGCTCGAGGAGGAGCTGGTCGTGCTGGACCTGCAGACGCCCGGCTGGCCTGCCGTGCCCGCCCCGTACCTGGCCCCACTGCACTCATCCGCAATCACCTGCTCTGCACACGTCGCCAATGTCCCTGCCAAGCTGTGGGCCCGCATCGTGAGTGCTGGTGAGCAGCAGAGCCCGCAGCCTGCCTCCAGCTCCTCGGTATGTGCCCGAGGGCCTCCTGCGGGGTGAGGGTTGGGTGGGGGGTGGAGGATGGCAGTGGTGATCCAGGCTCTGGCCAGGCCCAGGCCTGGAGTGGGGAATGTGGCAGACGTGCATAGGGAACTCAGAGGCAGTTTGGGCCCTGGGTGCCAGGCCCAGGGTGAGAAGAAGGCATTTGTCCTGACCTTCTGCTTCCAAATCTCTGCCTCCCTCTCCCAGAGCTGGCCCATCACTGGGGGCCGGAACCTGGCCCAGGAGCCATCCCAGCGAGGGCTGCTGCTGACAGGGTAGGCAGATGTGTGTTCTGTGGTCAAGCACAGGTGTGACGTGTGTATGCGTGTGTGTGTGTGTGTGTGTGTGTGTATGCAGATGGGGCCTGGTGCAGGCCCCACAGGTGCGGGAGAGCCTGTTCGGGGCCTGGTGGATACTGACCTGCCTGGTGAGCCAGGCCCCGCCCCTGGTGAGACCAGGCCACCCCCTCTCCTGCAGGGTGGCTTAGGATGAAGCTTCCCTAGGCCCTGGTTTAAGGCCCCGCCCTGCCCTGCCTTTTGGTCTGGAACTGAGCTCCACCCACCCGGCCTGCCCTGGGACCGGAAAATCTGGGCTGGCCCACGCGGATCTGCCCTGGGCAGGTGTTGCAGAGCCCAGCCTGGGCCTGGCGGGCGCTGACGTGCCCAGTGACTCAGGCCCTAGCTTCCTGCCTTGCCTCTGCTGCCTGCCTGTGCTGGAACCCTCAGGCCTCTGGTTCCAGCATCCCCTGCCCTGCTGGGGAACTGATCGTGGCTCTGGAAGTGTCCCAACCGGCCCCAGAGACTCAGGCACCTTTTCACACCCTGGCTCTGGGTTCTCACCACTGCGCGGAGGCCCCTGACGTGGGCCCTGCAGCTGTGTCCTGAGGCTGCACCCCAGATCTGTCTGCTCCTGCCCCCTATTTCCCCTCCCTGCTTCCTCCCAGCCTCCTCAGGCTTCCTGCTGCTCTGCCTACATGGCTGCCCCATGCCCCAGCTGATCCTTCTGCGCTGTGGCTAGCTCCCGAGCGCCTTTCCTGGATACGCCCGTAGTCCTCTCTTCCCTGCATTTTCTCCTCTACCATCTCCTGCTCATCACACTGGTGATTATTTCCACCCCTTTTCACCCTGTTTGAGAGGCCCAGGTTCATGGGGTCAGGTATACAGTGGGCGCTCAGTATGTGTTCACTCGTTGCAGTAGATGCGTCCTTGTGTGCCGCGGGAGTCTGGTCAGTGCTTGGCATCTGCAGTGGGTGCTCAGTGAGTGGTCGCAGGGTGAGTGGCTGGGGAGGCGCAGGGGGACCAGGGGTGGGGCTGACGTCGCCTTCCCCGCAGCCACGAGGACGGGACTGTGCGGTTCTGGGATGCCTCTGGCGTGGCACTGAGGCCGCTCTACAAGCTCAGCACAGCCGGCCTCTTCCAGACAGACTGTGAGCACGCTGACAGCCTGGCCCAGGCCGCCGAGGACGACTGGCCCCCCTTTCGCAAGGTGGGCACCTCCCTGAGCTCTGGGGACCTGGGCCCCGCCCTGCCCTGAGTCCTCACTCCATTCTGCCCCCGCAGGTGGGCTGCTTTGATCCCTACAGTGATGACCCTCGGCTCGGTGTGCAGAAGGTGGCCCTGTGCAAGTACACGGCCCAGATGGTGGTGGCTGGCACGGCAGGCCAGGTACGGCAGAGGCGGCTTCGGGTTGAGGTCTCCAAGGGCTTTCTGAAAGAAGTAGATCTGACTCAGAGTGGGGCTCCAGGTGAGGGTGGCTGGGGTGAGGCCGGCCAGGGAGGTGGAACCTGTTGGGGGCCTTGAGGCTAGACACCGGCTCTTGGGGAACCACGGAGGGTTGGGGCTGGGATCGGGAGCACAAGTGTAAGGTGAGCCCTGGGAGCGTGGGGACCAGCAGGGCTCAGTCCCTGCGGTGCCCCCAGCACCCCGCACGATACATATGTGTTCTATGGGCACTTACTGTTAAATGGGAGACCGGTGAGTGGAAAGGAGTTTGCTCCAAAGGCCAGTGGCTCTTGGTTACTGCTTTGTCACTGGTACTCGTGCAGTAGACAGAAGGTATACTCTGTATACCTTATATTTTGTATACCTTACACCTTATACCTTAAGGTATACTTAAGGCATACCTTAATATATATAAGAATATAAGAACTTAGTAAGAAAGTACACTCTGTATACCTTATGCCTCGTACTCTGTATATACTCTGTGTGTTTAATGGAGACGGGCTTGGGGGAATGGGATACTTGGCTCATAAAAAACAAGGAAGCACGTCTTGGTCACCATTGTGTTCCCCAGTGCTCAGTGAAGGTCCTGGTATACAGCAGGCATTCAGTAAGTGCTTATTAAGTAGATGAACTAGAGATAATACCACTGGGACCACCCTGATGGGCTTGGCAGGCTTGGCTGGGGCCTGGCTACTCCCATCCTCCTCCATGCTGACCCCTCCGCCACCCTGACTGTGCGCTCAGGTGCTGGTGCTGGAGCTAAGTGATGTGCCCTTGGAGCAGGCCGTCAGTGTGGCCAGCGTGGACCTCCTCCAGGACCGAGAGGGCTTCACGTGGAAGGGCCACGAGCGGCTGAGTCCGCGTACGGGGCCGCTGCTGTGGCCTGCTGGCTTCCAGCCCCGAGTGCTGGTTCAGTGCCTGCCACCAGCTGCTGTCACCGCTGTCACGCTCCATGCCGAGTGGAGCCTCGTGGCCTTTGGCACCAGTCACGGCTTTGGCCTCTTCGACTATCAGCGCAGGAGCCCAGTGCTGGCCAGGTGTGTGGGGGGTGGGGCTGGAGCCTGGTGATGCAGGGTCTGTACTGCTCCCCCCGCCCCTACCCCCGACCTCAGCCTCCTGTGGGAGCTCTGATGTTCCCCTACACCTGTCTGGGCCTCGCTTTCCCCTTTTAAGGTCTGAGATAACAGAGGTAGGGTGCCCTGAAAGCCCCCTGCCCCTCTGGCAGCCCTGTTCTTAAGGGAAGTACCGCCGGGGAGTTTGAAGCTGCTGGGATGGTGGGGCAGCGTCCCTGGGCCTCTGGTTCCTGACCCCCGGGGCCGGCGGCTGCACGGTGGCCACTCCCGGAGTCTGCTCCGGGCCCTGCTGACGTAGCCTGCCCGCAGGTGCACGCTTCACCCCAATGACTCTCTGGCCATGGAGGGCCCACTGTCCCGGGTGAAGTCCCTGAAGAAGTCTCTGCGCCAGTCCTTCCGGCGCATCCGCAAGAGCCGAGTCTCGGGCAAGAAGCGGGCTGCCAATGCCACCAGCAAGGTGAGCCGGGGCTCGGCTGCCCGGGTGCCGCCCAGCTGCCTCCGCAGCCTGGGCATCGCGCGGAGCCAGGCCCCGGCCCTGGCCTGGGCCCTGAGCCCGGTGTCTGGTCGCCATGGTTGCCCCGGCCGGTGTGGTGAGGGCAGGGCGGGGAGGGTGCCGGGCTGTTGGGCAGTGGGCTGTGGGGGAGGCGGCGTCCTGGAGGCCGCTGCCCCTCCAGTTGCAGGAGGCCAACGCGCAGCTGGCCGAGCAGGCGTGTCCCCACGACGTGGAGATGACCCCGGTGCAGCGCCGCATCGAGCCCCGCTCCGCCGACGACTCCCTCTCCGGCGTCGTCCGCTGCCTCTACTTTGCCGACACGTTCCTTCGAGATGGTGAGACGGGGGTGGTGGGGATGGGCTGGGGGGATGGGCCTCAGCTGGCCATCTAGGCCATGTTGGTAGGGGGCACTGCACCTTCTGGGAAGGAGGAAAGCCGACCGCATGCTGCCTGGAGCTGGCCCCCCAGGCACGCTTGGTTCCTGGTGCCGTTGTCCATTCATCTCAAGAACAGCTCCTTATGCTTGGTCAGCATCTAGTCTGGCCCTGCTTGGCATCTTACTTAGGGGACTTCCGGTCCCTGGGTCTGCGAGGGGAGCACCCCCTCTCGGTGTCATTTTTATGTTGGGGATCCTCTGTCCCATGGCTCTTCTCATTGGACGTGGCAGCCCTCCTTACCACGTTCTGCTGTCCCTGTGAGGCGGCCGACGGGGCACGGCTTCCCAGTGGCCGGTGTCCCTTGTCAGGGCTGCGGTGTGAGCTGCTGACTTTCCCCGGGGGTTTGGCTCCCCCTGGCGGCTGCTGCAGAGGCCAGCGGCTCATCAGGGGCTCACGGCAGTGACTGGCACTTCCTGCTGGCTCCTGCTCCGATTCCGCATGGAGGGCCTGTCCCCAGAGTTGCAGCTCACATGGGCAAAGCTGGCGAGACAGTGTCCCCGGGGGCCCCAGTGTCTTCCAGCCCCGGACCGAGGGCTCCGTGTGTGGCTGTGAGGTGGCAAGCACCCTGAAGGGGGTTGGCCACAGCCCACTGGAGCATCTCTGTGGGGTGAGGGTGTTCTGAGTCTGTCACTGGGACCGGTGATGGTGTACGGTGGCGTTGGGGAACGGTCAGGGCTGGGGCCCTTGGTACGGAGCTGGGGGCTGAGGGTGCCGCGGGACGGGGTTTAGAGGCCCGGGTGTAGATGGGGGCCTGCAGACGTCTTCGAGGCCGTTCCCCCTCGCGGGGGCTGTATCCCAGGCCCCACATTTCATCAGCAGCATCGGGACCGTGCCTTGGCCTCTGGGGAGGCGTGGGTCGGGGGAGAGGCGGTTCTGGGGCCTTGGGAGGGGAGAGGAGGAGCCCGTGGGGCGCGGCCGGCAGCCCGCCTCACCGGCCCGGCCTCCCACAGCGGCCCACCACGGACCCACCATGTGGGCGGGCACCAACTCGGGCTCTGTGTTCGCCTACGCGCTGGAGGTGCCGGCAGCGGCAGGCGGCGAGAAGCGACCCGAGCGGGCGGTGGAGGCCGTGCTGGGCAAGGAGGTGCAGCTGATGCACCGCGCCCCCGTGGTGGCCATCGCCGTGCTGGATGGCCGTGGCCGCCCACTGCCCGAGCCCTATGAGGCCTCCCGGGACCTGGCACAGGCCCCTGACATGCAGGGCGGCCACGCCGTGCTCATCGCGTCTGAGGAGCAGTTCAAGGTAAGCCTCAGGAAGACCCTCCAGGCTCCTGCCCAGACACCATTGGACCCTCTAGAAACTGCCCTGTACCCCTCATCTGCTGAGATCCCTCCCTCTTTCTGAGACACCCCTGGCTAGTACAGGTACCCCCTGTAGAGCCCAGGTGGCCGCAGTCCCTCAGCACCCTCCTGCCCCCCTGAGTCCCCGCCAGGACCCTCTGAGCACTCCTTGGGGCTCTGCCTGGCTGGAGGGCGGGATCTGAGGGGATAGCAGCCACCTGACCCTCACAAGCCAGTGTGGCTGGTTTGGCCACAGGTGGCGGGGCCCTGGGAGGTGTCCCGGAGCAGCATGGAACCTGGGTGGAGTGTGAGGAGAGGGTAGCTGGGGGTGGGTGGGTCCTGGGTGGATGTGGCCCTGTGGCCAAGCAGCGCACGCCCCGCTCGCAGGCTGGGTCCGGGGTGGGGGCTGCTGCCTGTGCTTGGGACTCCAGGCTCTGCTCACTGGCCGCCCCGCCCGCCGCCAGGTGTTCACGCTGCCCAAGGTGAGCGCCAAGACCAAGTTCAAGCTGACGGCCCACGAGGGCTGTCGCGTGCGCAAGGTGGCACTTGCCACGTTTGCCAGTGTGGCCTGTGAGGACTACGCGGAGACCTGCCTGGCCTGCCTCACCAACCTGGGCGACGTGCACGTGTTCTCAGTGCCTGGCCTGCGGCCGCAGGTGCACTACTCCTGTATCCGGAAGGAGGACATCAGCGGCATCGCTTCCTGCGTCTTCACGCGCCACGGCCAGGGTGAGGGCAAGGCTTCCTGGGGCGGGTGGCCTGAGCGGGGCTGGGAGGGTCACTGGGGAGTGTTGGCAGAGAGGGGCCCCAGGGCTGGCGCGGGACCGGCCCCAGAGGCCGGGGGGAGGGGGAGTCCGCTGAGGGGCTGTGGTTGGAGTCCCAGCCCTAACTGCACCCCTCTCCTCTCCTGCACCCCCTCCAGGTTTTTACTTGATTTCTCCGTCTGAATTTGAACGCTTCTCTCTAAGTGCCCGGAATATCACAGAGCCGCTCTGCTCTCTGGACATCAGCTGGCCCCGAGACAGCACCCGTGCCAGGTGCGTGGAAGGCCCAGCTCAGGAGGCCTACCGTGGGCGCTCTCATCGCCGTGCCCTGACTCTGCATGGAATGAGGGTGGCCCTCCATGGTGGCGCCCCTCTCTGACCCTGGGGCCTGGGAGAGGGCAGGCAGGGTCTGACATGTGTGGGGTCCCCATCATGACCCCGTCTCTGCAGCCACAGGCTCCGAGAGTCACCCAAGCTGAGCCAGGCTAACGGGACCCCAGGCATCGTCCTGGCCTCACGGAGCCGCGATGGAAGTCCAGATCCTGGCCACAGCAAGGGAGCTGGTAAGGGGGACTGGGGTGGGGAATAAAGGTGGCCAGACTTCCACACAGCTCAGACGTGGGGGCAGGTTTCCGTGGGAGGCAATAGCCTGGCCCTGGCTAGAAGCCCAGGATGGGGCAGGCTAGGTAGGAGAGGGCTGGAGGTCAGCCCGTGGTCCCAAGCCTCACTGTGGGCTGGGTTTGGGTCTAGGTCCTCGGGTCTGCGGGGATGGAAGGTGGAGTGCTGAGGGTGCTCGGTGCCGTGGGGCTCCAGGCAGGGGCCTGACCACTTCCTCCCTGCAGACACCCCCGAGCCGCCTGAGGCCATGCTCTCGCCCATGTCCATGGACTCGGCCACTAGTGCGGACACCACACTGGACACGACAGGGGACGTGACGGTGGAGGACGTGAAGGATTTCCTGGGGTGAGGCACACGGGCGAGTGGGGTGCGGGAGGGTCTCCCCAGGCTCCCCAGCCTCCTGCTTGCACCTCCGGCCTCCCTTCTGTCGGACCCGGGCACGGACGTCTAAGGAAGGGCCTGGCGCCAGGACCTTCTGATTACCATCCCCTCCCCCAGCTCTTCAGAGGAATCGGAAAACCTGAGGAACTTGGCAGAAGATGAGGCTCGAGCCTGCGCCATCCTGATCAAATAAGGTGCTGTGGGCTTAGGGCCCTGAGTCGGCCCGCTCCGTGCTGTTTGACGGCCCTGATTTTCATGCCCGGGTCTTAGAAAAACAGGGCCGGCCTGTCAGTTCCTGGATGTCATAGGTGGCGTGTGGAGCCGGTCCAGAGCAAACAGCGTCGCAGCGCTGGCAGCTGGGGGCTTGGGGGCTGGCTTGGCCAGCGCGTTTTGCAGATGAGATCCCTCGGGCTCACGTGGTCAGGTCCAGCCCGGTGATCCCGGGGAGCAGGACCTGGATCTGGGGTCTGCGTCGGGGGTCCCTAGGTCTGCCCCACCTGTTGGCTGTCTGGTGCCCCTACCCAGTGTGGCCCTGCACTCCAGCTCCCTCTTCCTATTGTTGGGGTTACTGCTGCCAAGCCTGACCACCGTGGGGCCGGATGTGCACAGTGCTCCGGCTCAGCAAGCCCGCCTCCGGCTGTCACTGCAGGACCCTTGTCCCTGGGGGGGGTGGAGTCAGCGTGGTGGCCCCTGCAGGGCTGTCGGCCCCTCTGGGGCTCCTTGCCTTTCTCTGAGCCCTCTTCTCTTCCTTTACCAGGAAGGCCAAAACTACGTGGCTCCCAACTGCCCTGCTCGGAGTTGGGATCCAGGACTCCCTGGGCCCTTTGCCTAGACCCACATCTGCTAACCTGTGGCCTCCACCAGGACCTGCCCGCCCCATCCCAGGGCGGTGCGGGGCTGTGAGCCTGGGGCTCAGCCCTGAGCCTCTGGGGCAGATTTGCAGCGGCCCCTCCTGTGGGCAGCTGGCCGCCTGGAGGCCAGGTGCCATGGGGAGAAGACAGCTGGGGCTGGCAAGCCCACGCCACCTCTCATCAACACACCGTCCTTCCCCAACCCCTTTGCAAAGAGTATTTTTCTAACGCCTGTGCTGGGCTGGACGGGCATTTCTAAAACTATTTTGGTACTTGCTCCTGGGCCAGCACCCACCTCCACCCCCCAGTCTGTGCACGAGTACGTGTGTGCGTGTGTGACCGCGTGATTGGGATCTAGTTAGAGGAGTGTGTGTGTGTGTGTGTGTGTGTGTATATGTGTGTGCACGTGTTGGGAGGGGGGTCGGTCAGGATGGGTTTCCCTGTAGATTGTACCTGGAGTTTTTTTCTTGTTATTTTGTTAAGATTAGCGCTGTTTTAATATTAAAAATACTGATTTTTAATATTGAAAATAAAAGCATTTAATATCTCTTAAAAGGCAACCACGCTGCTTTCTCTGTGGTAGGGAGGGGGCATCACACAGTAGCTCTCCCCAGAGGGACTCCAGCTGCCCAGACCCCTGAGGGCCTGGTTCTGGGCATCCCCCCTGGTGCTGCTCAGGCTGTGCAGCTGGGGACCGTGGCACTGGGGGCCGGGTGGCCGAACAGGGGCTGCCACCCGCACACAGCCTCTGCCAGTGGCAGTGGACGGACGGGCCACCCCGGCCCCGAGCTCGGGGCTGCAATGGGAGTGCTGTAGATGGGGGGCGCTTGCTGTCCTAGGCCAGAGCCTGGCGGAAAGTGCTCCAGGCGTGGAAGCAGCGGGTGAAGGCGTGCTGCTCGTTGCCCTTGCGGACCAGGCGCAGGCGGCGTGGCTGCTCGTGCTCTTTGGATCGCATGTGCTGGATGTACACCTGGCCGGCCGGACAGGGCATGAGCCGGGGCAGTCCTCACAGACCCCCACCCCCACCCCACCCCCGGCCAGGGCTTAGCCTGCCCCACCAGCTGGCTCACCTGGCAGGCCTTTAGACTCAGTTTGATCTCCACCTGGCTTGTCTGGGTCCCCACCCACATGTAGACCTGTGGGGACAGCAAGGCAGGGGGTCTCAGCTTCCCACCTAGCAGTGGGCGGGCCCCCTGGGCAGCCGGATCAGTGGGAGGGGAGGGGCCGCACCTCTTGACCATTGTCCAGCAGCATGATGTCGTCATCTGCCAGGTCATCCTGGCAGAAGTCTGAGCACTTCTCCGTCACCGCAAAGTAGCCCTTCTCATTGGAGCACCTGCAGGTCGAGGGTCAGGGAGAGGCTGTGCGGGTGGCAGGCACAGCCGGCCCTAGGGGGAAGCTGGGGGGTGTGGGGTCTGGGTCCTGGCCTCACCGGAAGAGCCTGGTGTGCTTCATGTACTCGGCATCATCATCGTAGGGCTTCTGGGCCCCGATGCCCACCCAAAAGAAGTTCTCGGGCTCCTCGCCTTCGTTGATGACCTGTGGGAAAGGGTCTGTCTGGCCCAGGGCTTGGGTCTGCTCCCACGGGACTGACTACCGGCTCGCCCACCGCCTGTCCCCGTCACCTGCTTGCTGTAGGAGGCGTCGAACATGGTGTTCAGGATATCTTCCGCCAGCTTGGCCTCATCTGGGTCTGACGCCCGGCCCACCCACGCGTACACAATGCCCTGGTTGTCCTCGCTCTCAAAGGGAACCTGAGAAGTGTGCAGGGGAGTTCAAGTCGGGGCCACCCCACAGCCAGTGACCCTGCTCCACAGTCCCCGCCACACCCACAATCCCACCTTGAGAATGAAGCAGAACTCGGAGTTGAGGAGGCTGGAGTCAGTGTTGATCTGGATGCACCTGTGGGGTGGGAGGTGTCAGCGAGGGGTCCCTGCTGCCCACTGACCCCCGCCTGCCCACCACATGCGCCCTCCCCCCAGCCAGGCACCGGGTGCAGAGGGCGCTGCCATTGGTGCGAATCTGGTAGAGGCTGGGCTGCTGGGCAGCCTGAGCCACCTTCCTCTTGCCCCGATGGATGATGAACTTTCTCTTGAAATGGGACAGGAACTTGGGGTTCTCCTGCTGCTGTGTCATGCGTACCACCTGGAGGTGTGGAAGCATTAGGGGCAGCTCCCTGGGCACTGCCTCCACCCCCCACCATGCCTCCCGAGGCTATGGGGGTGCGGCCTGGAGCAGGTAGGGGCGTGCAGGCACACCTCTAGTTTGCCAGGGAAGAGGCTCTCGAACTTCTTCTGCAGGCTGAAGGTGAAGGTGAGCCAGCCCATGTTGGAGGCCTCCCGGCCCTGCCAGAAGTACACGATGCACTGGAAGTCCTCCTCCGGCTGCTTCTCCTCCGCCTCAGCCGCTGCCTCCTCGCCTTCTTTGCCCTCCGCTCCCGCTTTTTCCTCTTCCTTCTCTTCTTTCTTCTCCTCCTCCTCCTCGTACTCCACGGGGACCCAGTACCTGGGGGGTCAGAGGATGGTGAGTGGGGGTGGGGCTCGAGCCCCTAGCATTCGCGGAGGGGCCAGGCGGCGCGCTGCAGCGGCACCTGCAGAGGAAGACGTAGCAGTCCTGCGTGTAGAAGTGGCCGAACTCCTCCTCCGGCAGCCTCGCGAACTTCTTGCCCTCCAGCACGAAGCCCTCCATGCCGTCCAGGTCCTCGTTCCACTCCTCCATCAGCTGCTCCGCCTGCACCGGGCAGCAGCGAGTCACAGGGCAAGGGCCCCCGCACGGAGCCCCCTCCCACTACCGCAGGGTCCCGCCCCCCCCCCCCCCCCCCCCCCGCAGTCCACCAGCCCTGGGCCCCGTCCCCACCTCTGCCAGCGCCATGGGCGGCTGCCTTGGCAGGAACAGCGCGGTGAGGTCAGCCTTCATCTGATCTTTCTTCTCCGCGTCGCGCTTCACCTTCCCAGTGAGTCCCGGGCCCTGCAGCACAGCCTCCGCGTTGCGCGTGTAGTCCACTGTCAACACGTCGTCCCAGTTCTTGAACTTGGCCTTGAACACCTGCCGAGCACGGATAAAATTCGAGCTGGCCGGGAGGCTTGGGGGGCGGGGCCTCGCCGCGGAGGGGCGGGGCCTGGCTGGGCCGAGGGGTGGCTCCCAGGGGGCATGGCCTGTGCCAGCTCTGCTGGACTCCGCACCTGCGCCTCGGTGCCCTCCAGGCTGCGGCTGACCGTGGCGTGGCGCGGCCTATGCAACATCCCGCACAGCTCCTGGCCCAGCTTGAGGGCGGCGGCGCGTACCAGGCGTGGGGATTTGCGGCCCAGCCAGATGAACACGTCGGACCAACAGTCCAGGATGTATACGCAGCGCGTGTCCAGCAGGCTCTGCAGCTGCAGGGCAAAGGCTGCAGGTCAAGGCCCACGCCGAGCCACCAGCGAGGGATCCCCGCCCCGCACTCTCCGCCCTCCATGTGTCTCACCAGCCGCATCTTGGGCAGCAGTTCCACCTTGGGACGGGTCTTATGTTCCACGGAGAGCTTGTAGTTGATCTGCGGTAGCTCCAGATAGCCCAGGCCCAGGCCCACCTGGCAGCAGGAAGGGATGGGCGTGGCAGGGGCAGGCTCTGGAGCACAGGAACCCCACTCCTAGCAGCCCCCTGCTTTGGAGTCCAGCTGTTTCCCTGCTGTGGGAGCTCAGGACCACTGCCTGCTCCTTTTCTGACCTGTTTCCTCCCTCCACTAATGTTTGAAGGACATTCTATCAGTGGAAGGGCTTTTACATGATGCCTTCCCTGCCTGCCCTCTCCAGGTCCTTATTGTCATTCCTAATTCTCTTCTTGCTCGCAACACCCCTAGGGGCTTCCTATCACCTTGACAATCAAGGCCAGGTTCTCAGGCTTGGTACCCAGGCGCTTTGCAGCCTTCCTCTCCAGCCCCACCTTCCTGGAAACGTGCAGTCTAACACTACTTCTCCTGGCCTCACTCAGAGCCAGCCTCCTGATCTTTGCTCCGGCTACTTCCTGCCCAGAAGGTGGCACCCTCTCCCCACCAAAATCCAGATGAAGACCAGCCACCACCGTGGTGCCGGCGGAGGAAGTCAGGCCAGCACTGCCTCTCGCACCACGGCTCACCTTATACAGCTTGGGCTGAGGTGGCCAGAAGTCATCCGGCACGTGCTTCTTGATCTCGGAGGGCTCCCCGCCCAGAGCCTCCCAGAACTCTGGGGGCTCCTGACCTTGCACCAGCAGTGTGATCTCTGCCTTCCCTTTCCGCTCATTCTTGTTAATTTTCTCAGCAAAAAGCCTTGTGGGGGGAGTGGGAGTATGCAAAGCCTTTAGTGAGTCCCGTGCCCCTTCTTAGGTAACAATCTGTCTTTGCAGAAAATACCCCACCGTGTCCTCATACCTGGCCTTGGTAGTGCTACTCAGTGTGGCCTGGGTCCCCCGCCACACGTAAATGTCCAGCCCTCGATCCAGCAGGAAAACAAACCTGGGCAGGAGGAGCAGTGATAGACAGGGACAGCGACTGCCCTCATGCCCTTGACCCTGCCCCAAATCCCTCATTATGGGGTTTCACGCCTTACTAGTCCTGCCAAGCTCAATGAGACAGGGGTTAAAAGGGTTTCTGAAGGTCTTTTTATTTCTAGAACCCAAAACTGCTCCCCACTAATGGGAGGGAGTGTGGGCTCAAGTACTCCCCCTGGAGGCACGGGGGCCTACCTTGGGTCCAGAGAGGACCCCTTGAGAGGCACGGGCTCCAACTTGATGTTCTTTTTCCCATACACGCGGTACATCCTGGGGGCCAGAGCAAGAGTGACTGGGGAGGGGGGCAGGGAGGGGCACAAACGGGCCGATTCAGCCCTAACACCCTTTCGCCCCATCCTTCCCACCGGAGCGCAGCCCAGCGCCAGCCACGCCCACACCCCCTCACCTGGTGACATAGTGTGTGTCCTCCACAGTGTAGAAGCCACTGGCTGTTCCACCCTCGATGTAGGAGATGTCACTGTCAAACACCTGTGTGTGTGAGGGCGCGGGCCTTCATCACTGAGCCCCCTCCCCCGCCAGACACCCCCACCCCCGTCAGTGGGCAGAGCTGTCCACAGGTGCCTCACGTGTTATGTATCTGGGATGAAGGTAGGGAAACAAAGGAATAAGACCCGTGTCTATAAACAAACACATGTTAGAGTGTTAGGATGTGTAAAAGTACGTGTTTGCTGGTGTTAAGGTTTAGAAATGCACAGCATGCTTAGATATGCCTGCATCAGGCGCAGGACCAAGCAGATTTATGCAAGAGGGCAAGGGGTGAATCAGGGTAGAATCTTGGGTGGATGGGCGTCTACACACGACCAGCTGGCCGAGAGGACAGCGCAGCTCGCTCACCGCACTCTGACTCAGGGTCCAGCCCTGGGCCCGCCTTCTTGGGTGTCCAGCCGGCAGCCCCACCCCCTCCGTGCTATAGCCCCAGTTCCTCATCTCTCTCTAGGCTCCCCTAGCCCAGGCTCCCC